CCTCTCCCCCTCCCCCCTCTTCTCCCTCTCTCTGTGTCCCTCCCTCCTTGCCTCTCTCCCCCTCCCTCTTCCCTACTTCTCCCTGTCTCCCTCTCCCCCTCCCCCCTCTTCTCCCTCTCTCTGTGTCCCTCCCTCCTTGCCTCTCTCCCCCTCCCTCTTCCCTACTTCTCCCTGTCTCCCTCTCCCTCCCTCCCCCTCTCCCTCCCTCTTGTCTCCCTCCCTTTCTCACTGCCTCCCTCTCTGTCTCTCCCTCCCTTCCTTCCTGGGAATCAGCCATTGTCACATAGTAGCATTCAGATTAATAACATTGCGAAATAACCTTATTGTAGCGACTGTCACTAATCATTTTTACTATCTTTTTACTAAACGGTACATGGGGTACTCCTTGAATTGCAACCACAATTGAGCCCAACATACACGTCGCTAAGAGAGACAGTTGGTCAGTGAGGTTTCCCGCTTTTGACGCTTGCCTCGGTTGTTAAGTGAATCGCTTTGATTCTTAAATCAGTCACCCAGTTGTTAAGTGAATCTGGCTTCTCCAGCCACTTGGCTTGTTAGAAGGTTGCAAAAAGTGATCACGTGACCCCTGGCCACACTGCCACCGTCATAAATGTGAGTCGGTTGCAAGCATCCAAAATTTGATCACGTAACCAGGGGATGCTGCAACGGTCAAGTGTGAAAAATTGTCATAAGTCACCTTTTTCCATGCCGTTGTAACATCAAACTCACTAAATGAATCATCGTAAGGTGATGACTATAATGGGAGGAGGGGGGGAATTGTGTTAGAAGAAAATACTCTGTGGCTTCTTTTTCTTTTATCCTTAACGTCAATCTATGCATTTCTGCACAATCTGCATTTTCTTTTTAAACGACGTCATCTCCGGTGGGTGTTTCCTCATTTGCCCAAAATTGTGCAAACAGAATTCTTGCTGCTGTCAAAACATGTAATATTAAATATAAAGGGAAAGGGAAAGGTTCCTCCCGGACATACGTACTGGTCGATCCCGACTCTAGGGGGCGCTGCTCATCTCCGTTTCAAAGCCGAAGAACCAGCGCTGTCCGAAGACGTCTCCGTGGTCATGTGGTTGGCATGACTCAACGCCGAAGTTCCATGGAATGTTTGTTCCCTTCCCACCAAAGGTGGTTCCTATTTTTCTACTTGCATTTT